AAAACTCCCCCTCCTAGGTGGTTCCCCTCTCTTTTTTTTGATCACTTCCCTCTCAATTTTCTGCCCCCGCTGTGTACCAGATGGTCTAAGTTTTTAAAGGCGTGGATTCGCAGCAGTGTTTCCGGACAGCGTCTACGAGGGGATTTTCACTTTAGCTAGCTTTTTATGCTGAATGTATGCCATTTTTGCAGCACTTATTCGATCGCATCTTGCCTGTGTCATCATTTTTTATCCAGACTCCCTAGTGCTTACGCTATACGAAAATTTGGAAAGCACTCATCCCCCGTTTTCTCCGTACCCAATTTGGCTACCCCATCTCTACCAAACATAAAGATATTTTTTTTTTGTTGGGTCCCCGGTCATGTCGACGTACAGGGAATAAAAGGGAGACCTGCTGCGCGGTCAGCGTAATGACCTACCAATTTTTCCCATCGAGGTGTTCCTTTTTTGGACTATTTTTTCTGCAATAGCACCCCCCTTCGCCCCTTGGGAACAACGTTGGTCAATTGCTCGGGAACAAACTTCATTCTATTTAAACGAGCATGGTTCTGGCCCTTTCTTTTATCAGGGGCCGGGGGTTTGGGGGAAAACCCCCTCTCCCCCTTCCATTTGGGCCACATCTCTTATCATGGGTATCTCTGGGAGGCACCCCGTTCCCTCTGTGAGCATTTCAATTCCATTTTTGATTAGCCCCTTTTGTTTGACTGCCCTTCCCATAAAGGCACGCAGAATTTACCTCCAAGTCGTCTTCGTTTCCCCACCTCTCTTTACCTTCCCCTTTTTGCTGATGGACCCTCCCTTTAATCCCACTCTCTCAGACTTCTTGAAAAGATGATTTACTCCACAAACCCGATGATCTTTCGCACTCCCCCAGCCCCTTTTTGGTTCGTCCTTTCTGCCCTTTTCCCCCTTTTACCATCCACTGCCCCCCTGTTATCCTAAACCCGTTGTCTCCATCTCCCCTTTTTCCACCTGAGCCCTCGCTTCCTTTCCCCGCACGCTGTTAGTCCTTGTGGGTTTGGCTTCTTTTTGATTATAAAAAAAATAAATTTAAAACTGGGCAAAAAAATTAAGTTTTGACAATCCGACCGTACGCGTTTATCCCCAAACCCCCTTTGTTACTTAAAATGCTTAAAAGTCTTTCAGCAGTTTTCGCTTGCAAGTCAATACTGTTTTTTTTTCCCCCCCCTTTGTTTAATATGACGATTCCAGAGGGTTTAACTTTGCACCATATTTTTCCCAACTGCGTCAGTGCGCTCTTCTCTTTTTTTCCCGGACTTCGACTTTCCCCTATGATAATTTTGTCTTTGGCTTTCACTGGGTCATTGGGTATCCGTTGTAGCTCTATTTAACACTGCTTTTCATTTTGACAGGAAAAAAGGCTTCGGTTTTTTCTGTATTCAAGAGGTGTTCCGCAGTTTTTTTCATAGCGATCTGTACCTAGAGAGGGGTTTTGGAGGGCAAAAGCCCCCATGGCCCCTCTGTGCCAGGCCTTGCAGGGGAAAAAAGGGCCCCCAACAAAAAAGGCTGTTTTCTGCTGGCCGCATGCAAACCAAAGTACAAACCTCTCGGGTGATCAGGTTCTGCCTTTAAAGGGCCTGTCCAGACCATATTTCCCTTTAATCCCCTTTTATTACGGCTTTCCCGAAATTTTTTTAAAAGCCCCAGGTTCCTCGTCCTTTCCCAGGTCCTTTAAAACATCACATGCCTTTTACTTCAAATCAAGCCCCAAATTTGGTTCGGCCGTCCCTCGCCTCACGCTGTTGGTTTTTGGAAGGCAGTGGAAATTCTCTTTACGACACATTGGACAGTGGGAAATTTACCCCCTGGTCATGGGCATGGAGGGACGCACCTATCTCACTCTACCAGGATTACCAGGTCGTGCTGACAAATATCTTTTAATAGAAAATCCCATTTATGGAGGAGCTCACTGACTTTATTTATACTCAGAATCTCTTCCAGTGCTCCGCTATGTTTACTCCGCCCTCCTCTCTGGAAGTAACAGTCTTGTTGCAAATTGTATCCGTGGCTCTCTAAGCGGTTGATATGTTGCACTAACTTGCAATATCTCATTCTTTTGCTAGTTCTCCTGCATTTGATACTTTTGCACCTTCTGCTTTTGTCATGCCTCTCTACCACGCAGAACTGTATGACCATAATGGGCTGTTTATTTATTAATGGTTCCAGGAATCGTAACCTACTTGACCCAATCCAGGCCCTAGTGTTTTTAGTGAATATTATATTACTGTATCATTATTACTGTTATGAGGGCTGGGATCTGAGAAGGACGTGCTTAACATGGGTCAGTGGAATTGCTGCATTGCTCCTACGTTCTCATATTCTTATTAATAATAATATCCCAGTCAGCAGAAAAACTTGCACCAAGCATCACCTATTCTACACTATCTTAAAAAGAGACTACTAAATAACAGAAAAATATCGATATAAATTATTAATGATCATAACAAAAGCAAAGCTAGTCTCCAGCCGTGGTCACCAGTGATTTTGGTCTTACGAACAGACGGGATCTCCAGCAGTGGTCACCAGTGATTTTGGTCTTACGAACAGACGGGATCTCCAGCAGTGGTCACCAGTGATTTTGGTCTTACGAACAGACGGGATCTCCAGCAGTGGTCACCAGTGATTTTGGTCTTACGAACAGACGGGATCTCCAGCAGTGGTCACCAGTGATTTTGGTCTTACGAACAGACGGGATCTCCAGCCGTGGTCACCAGTGACTTTGGTCTTACGAACAGGCGGGATCTCCAGCCGTGGTCACCAGTGATTTTGGTCTTACGAACATGCGGGATCTCCAGCCGTGGTCACCAGTGATTTTGGTCTTACGAACAGACGGGATCTCCAGCCGTGGTCACCAGTGATTTCGGTCTTACGAACAGGCGGGATCTCCAGCCGTGGTCACCAGTGATTTTGGTCTTACGAACAGGCGAATCTCCAGCCGTGGTCACCAGTGATTTTGGTCTTACGAACAGGCGGGATCTCCAGCCGTGGTCACCAGTGATTTTGGTCTTACGAACAGACGGGATCTCCAGTCGTGGTCACAAGTGATTTTGGTCTTACGAACAGGCGGGATCTCCAGCCGTGGTCACCAGTGATTTTGGACTTACGAACAGACGGGATCTCCAGCCGTGGTCACCAGTGATTTTGGTCTTACGAACAGGCGGGATCTCCAGCCGTGGTCACCAGTGATTTTGGTCTTACGAACAGACGGGATCTCCAGCCGTGGTCACCAGTGATTTTGGTCTTACGAACAGGCGGGATCTCCAGCCGTGGTCACCAGTGATTTTGGTCTTACGAACAGACGGGATCTCCAGCCGTGGTCACCAGTGATTTTGGTCTTACGAACAGGCGGGATCTCCAGCCGTGGTCACCAGTGATTTTGGTCTTACGAACAGACGGATCTCCAGCCGTGGTCACCAGTGATTTTGGTCTTACGAACAGGCGGGATCTCCAGCCGTGGTCACCAGTGATTTTGGTCTTACGAACAGGCGGGATCTCCAGCCGTGGTCACCAGTGATTTTGGTCTTACGAACAGGCGGGATCTCCAGCCGTGGTCACCAGTGATTTTGGTCTTACGAACAGGCGGGATCTCCAGCCGTGGTCACCAGTGATTTTGGTCTTACGAACAGGCGGGATCTCCAGCCGTGGTCACCAGTGATTTTGGTCTTACGAACAGGCGGATCTCCAGCCGTGGTCACCAGTGATTTTGGTCTTACGAACAGGTGGGATCTCCAGCCGTGGTCACCAGTGATTTTGGTCTTACGAACAGGCGGGATCTCCAGCCATGGTCACCAGTGATTTTGGTCTTACGAACAGACGGGATCTCCAGCCGTGGTCACCAGTGATTTTGGTCTTACAAACAGACGGGATCTCCAGCCGTGGTCACCAGTGATTTTGGTCTTACGAACAGGCGGGATCTCCAGCCGTGGTCACCAGTGATTTTGGTCTTACGAACAGACGGGATCTCCAGCCGTGGTCACCAGTGATTTTGGTCTTACGAACAGACGGGTTCTCCAGCCGTGGTCACCAGTGATTTTGGTCTTACGAACAGACGGGATCTCCAGCCGTGGTCACCAGTGATTTTGGTCTTACGAACAGGCGGGATCTCCAGCCGTGGTCACCAGTGATTTTGGTCTTACGAACAGTCGGGATCTCCAGCCGTGGTCACCAGTGATTTCGGTCTTACGAACAGACGGGATCTCCAGCCGTGGTCACCAGTGATTTTGGTCTTACGAACAGGCGGGATCTCCAGCCGTGGTCACCAGTGATTTTGGTCTTACGAACAGGCGGGATCTCCAGCCGTGGTCACCAGTGATTTTGGTCTTACGAACAGGCGGGATCTCCAGCCGTGGTCACCAGTGATTTTGGTCTTACGAACAGAGGGGATCTCCAGCCGTGGTCACCAGTGATTTTGGTCTTACGAACAGAGGGGATCTCCAGCCGTGGTCACCAGTGATTTTGGTCTTACGAACAGACGGGATCTCCAGCCGTAGTCACCAGTGATTTTTGTCTTACGAACAGGCGGGATCTCCAGCCGTTCTCACCAGTGATTTTGGTATTAAGGAACAGACGGGATCTCCAGCCGTGGTCACCAGTGATTTTGGTCTTACGAACAGGCGGGATCTCCAGCCGTGGTCACCAGTGATTTTGGTCTTACGAACAGGCGGGATCTCCAGCCGTGGTCACCAGTGATTTTGGTCTTACGAACAGGCGGGATCTCCAGCCGTGGTCACCAGTGATTTTGGTCTTACGAACAGACGGGATCTCCAGCCGTGGTCACCAGTGATTTTGGTCTTACGAACAGGCGGGATCTCCAGCCGTGGTCACCAGTGATTTTGGTCTTACGAACAGGCGGGATCTCCAGCCGTGGTCACCAGTGATTTTGGTCTTACGAACAGGCGGGATCTCCAGCCGTGGTCACCAGTGATTTTGGTCTTACGAACAGGCGGGATCTCCAGCCGTGGTCACCAGTGATTTTGGTCTTACAAACAGGCGGGATCTCCAGCCGTGGTCACCAGTGATTTTGGTCTTATGAACAGGCGGGATCTCCAGCCGTGGTCACCAGTGATTTTGGTCTTACGAACAGGCGGGATCTCCAGCCGTGGTCACCAGTGATTTTGGTCTTACGAACAGGCGGGATCTCCAGCCGTGGTCACCAGTGATTTTGGTCTTACGAACAGAGGGGATCTCCAGCCGTGGTCACCAGTGATTTTGGTCTTACGAACAGAGGGGATCTCCAGCCGTGGTCACCAGTGATTTTGGTCTTACGAACAGACTTGATCTCCAGCCGTAGTCACCAGTGATTTTGGTCTTACGAACAGGCGGGATCTCCAGCCGTTCTCACCAGTGATTTTGGTCTTACGAACAGGCGGGATCTCCAGCCGTTCTCACCAGTGATTTTGTTATTAAGGAACAGACGGGATCTCCAGCCGTGGTCACCAGTGATTTTGGTCTTACGAACAGGCGGGATCTCCAGCCGTGGTCACCAGTGATTTTGGTCTTACGAACAGGCGGGATCTCCAGCCGTTCTCACCAGTGATTTTGGTATTAAGGAACAGACGGGATCTCCAGCCGTGGTCACCAGTGATTTTGGTCTTACGAACAGGCGGGATCTCCAGCCGTGGTCACCAGTGATTTTGGTCTTACGAACAGGCGGGATCTCCAGCCGTTCTCACCAGTGATTTTGGTCTTACGAACAGGCGGGATCTCCAGCCGTTCTCACCAGTGATTTTGGTATTAAGGAACAGACGGGATCTCCAGCCGTGGTCACCAGTGATTTTGGTCTTACGAACAGGCTGGATCTCCTGCCGTGGTCACCAGTGATTTTGGTCTTACGAACAGGCGGGATCTCCAGCCGTGGTCACCAGTGGTTTTGGTCTTACGAACAGGCGGGATCTTCAGCTGTGGTCACCAGTGATTTTGGTCTTACGAACAGGCGGGATCTCCAGCCGTGGTCACCAGTGATTTTGGTCTTACGAACAGGCGGGATCTTCAGCTGTGGTCACCAGTGATTTTGGTCTTACGAACAGGCGGGATCTCCAGCTGTGGTCACCAGTGATTTTGGTCTTACGAACAGGCGGGATCTTCAGCTGTGGTCACCAGTGATTTTGATCTTACGAACAGGTGGGATCTCCAGCTGTGGTCACCAGTGATTTTGGTCTTACGAACAGGCGGGATCTTCAGCTGTGGTCACCAGTGATTTTGGTCTTACGAACAGGCGGGATCTCCAGCTGTGGTCACCAGTGATTTTGGTCTTACGAACAGGCGGGATCTCCAGCTGTGGTCACCAGTGATTTTGATCTTACGAACAGGCGGGATCTCCAGCCGTGGTCACCAGTGATTTTGGTCTTACGAACAGGCGGGATCTCCAGCTGTGGTCACCAGTGATTTTGATCTTACGAACAGGCGGGATCTCCAGCCGTGGTCACCAGTGATTTTGATCTTACGAACAGATGGGATCCCAAGCCGTTATCACCAGTGATTTTGTCCTTATAAACATATTCCATCGTTTACACAAGTGGATATCCAGTTCCAGAAATCTATAATATGATTGAAGATCGTGAAGCTGGCAGGACACGACGCCTCTGAGTATGACGAGGAGACAATGCCAGCTATCATCCACTTCTCCTCCACGTCATTCCCAAAATTCACCAGGTAAGGTCCTCCCGAGGACCCCTCTTTAAGGAACTGATTGGAATCTGTTGAAAGACGTATTTAATTTAGAACCTACATTATGGGGGATATTCAACAGGGTAAGTTACTGTTGTTGAGGAAGAGATGCAACAGAAGTTAGTGTAGTTGTGGATGTATATCAGGAATTACTGTAGATGTGTATGATGTACAACAGCAATTATTGTAGTCGTACAAGCACTGCACATGTTGAGTTTATTATGCACAAAACAAATCCACTTAGCGGTGTAAGCCAAACTACTACAGTCCGTATTTATGAAGGTTCATACGTGATATACTAACTGCACGAGATTCATTAAGGCTACATACCATCAGTGCGTGTATTGTTCCTTCATAATGTGAGTAGTCACGAAAGCGCTTGGAATTTCATTATTCTTTCAAAGTGGTTGTTTTGCGCATATATATATATATATATATATATATATATATATATATATATATATATATATATATATATATATATATATATATATATATATATATATATATATATATATATATATATATCTTGTATCTCTTAAATCTTCTGTACCATATTATGTAATAAAATATTCCTATTAGTAAAAAAAAATAAATATGAAAAGATGGGGTGGTAGGGGAAGTGGAATATTCAAACGGCTTCAGGAAGAAATCCAAATATTTTTCCTTGAAGCCTTTTTATCCACTTCTCCGAGGCTATGGGTCCCACAATTTACACCAGAGGTGGACCCCCCCCCCCGAAAATATATATATATATATATATATAATATATATATATATATATATATATATATATATATATGTATATATATATAATATAATATATAATGTGCCGAATAAGTGAAACTGGTCAATTAGCAAGAACACATTTAAAATTAAGTCCTTTCTAAAATTTTCTCTTTTACTTTTAAAGATATAGTTTTTCATTTAGGTTAATGTAAAAATTAATAATTTTGTTTCAAAAGCACCTTAGAAAACTTACCTAACCTTATAACAAGGGCAATTTAATTTAGCCTAATCCAACTAAATATTTTTTAGATAAGTTTACAATAATTTAATAATAAACAAACACAATGAAACATATATTTTTCGTTAAGGTTCAGAACGATTTTTTGCGAAATTATTGCATACACAAATTTTCGCTTGCCTTATTCGGCAAGAAGAGCGTTACTATTTAAGCCAAAATCGCAAGTTTTACCTATTCGGCACGACATATATATATATATATATATATATATATATATATATATATATATATATATATATATATATATATATATATACATATATATATATAAAGGTGGTTTTGTGGGCTAGGGGCTTGGACTTCGAGCAAGCGTGCATGAGCGTGTTAGATAGGAGTGAATGGAGACGAATGGTACTTGGAACCTGACGATCTGTTGGAGTGTGAGCAGGGTAATATTTAGTGAAGGGATTCAGGGAAACCGGATATTTTCATATAGTCGGACTTGAGTCCTGGAAATGGGAAGTACAATGCCTGCACTTTAAAGGAGGGGTTTGGGATATTAGCAGTTTGGAGGGATATGTTGTGTATCTTTATACGTATATGCTTCTAAACTGTTGTGTTCTGAGCACCTCTGCAAAAACAGTGATAATGTGTGAGTGTGGTGAAAGTGTTGAATGATGATGAAAGTATTTTCTTTTTGGGGATTTTCTTTCTTTTTTGGGTCACCCTGCCTCGGTGGGAGACGGCCGACTTGTTGAAAATATATATATATATATATATATAATATATATATATATATATATATATATATATATATATATATATATATATAATATATATATATATATATATATATATATATATATATATATATATATATATATATATATATATATATAATATATATATATATAATATATATATATATATATATATATATATATATATATATATATATATATATATATATATATCTTCTTTCAACGTACCAGCCGTATCCCACTGAGGTGGGGTGGCCCAAAAGAAAAAACTGAAGTTTCTCCTTTTAAATTTAGTAATATATACAGGAGAAGGGGTTACTAGCCCCTTGCTCCCGGCATTTTAGTCGCCTCTTACGACACACATGGCTTACAGAGGAAGAATTCTGTTCCACTTCCCCATGGAGATAAGAGGAAATAAACAAGAACAAGAATTAGAAAGAAAATAGAAGAAAACCCAGAGGGGTGTGTATATATATGCTTGTACATGTATGTGTAGTGTGACCTAAGTGTAAGTAGAAGTAGCAAGACTTACCTGTAATCTTGCATATTTGTGAGACAGACAAAAGACACCAGCAATCCTACCATCATGTAAAACAATTACAGGCTTTCGTTTTACACTCACTTGGCAGGACGGTAGTACCTCCCTGGGCGGTTGCTGTCTACCATATATATATATATGTGTGTGTGTGTGTGTGTGTGTGTGTGTGTGTGTGTGTGTGTGTGTGTGTGTGTGTGTGTATGTATGTGTGTGCAGGACAAGCCACAGGCAGGGCCGGATTAAGAAGTCTCCGGGCCCTAGGCTATTCAGATTGGCGGGGCCCCTTTGAGTTACGGGTAAGCGAAGCGACCCCTTCCAGCTTGGGGGGGGGTCGGTGTGAGCCTGTTTAAGGTCTAATTAAATACATTCTGGCTATTTAGATTAAATTAATAGGGAAATTACATCAAGACAACCAAAACCATTTACCAACAGCCATTATAACTATCTTGTTAAATCATGCATTTTAAAGAGAATAAACTCAAGACAGCATAGTATTACTAGATTAGGCTATTAAAGTAGTGACATCATGTACCTATTATATTCAGCATAACCACTACAGCACTATTATTCCCTTTATAAATCACTGACCATTATTGTTATCATTGCATCATGCATAAGACTATCAAATTATATAAACTACAGAAAATTGGAGAGGAATCTCCCATACTCACCCATTAGCGGGAAAACACAGCTGTTCTGATGTAAACAAAGGAGTGTTGAGTGTTGCCATCTATGGTTAGGTTTATTTATTTTTATTTTATTTTATTTCATTATTTATTTTTGTTTTGATTAATTTTTAAAAATCAATTTTACTCTCCAAACACTTGAACTTTTTAGGTAGGGACCCCTTTGCACTTGCACCATGTGCGCAGTCTTGGATGAGCCCCTGAACCCCTTGGACCGTGGAGCCCCAAAATGCGCAGGGCCCTAGGCAAATGCCTAGTTTGCCTATGCGGTAATCCGGCCCTGGCCACAGGGGGTGGAAATCTTTAGCTCAAGTACTTTCACATTTCTCAGTACATCATCAGGAGCTGTCCAACGTTGCGAGTGAGCAGCCAATGCAGGGAGAGGTCTCAGAGTAGCGTAGGTGTCACCGGCCACAGTTACGCTTAGACTGGGTTAGTGGTTGGTGCCAACCCCACCCTACCATCATCCCCCTACTCCCCGTATGGGGTAGGAGGGTTTCTGAGACGTCAAGTATGAAATTATAAGGTATAAAACGCAGCCTTAAGCTTTTTCTAATTGTTAATAACAGGTCATGTGGTTTGAGAAAATAAGTTTCTCGTTATTGTAGACATGGATTGCTATTATTCTGTGTGACCTTTTTCAAATAAAAGGAATACAATGTGCTCTTTGTCAGCTTAAATGTCCTGCTCTGAGGTACTTGAATGTTCTACCGATGTACTCATAAGTATATCTTCTTAATATTGCCTACTATTATATAGCAATTAAGCCACAAAACAAGTGATTTTGAATCATTTACCAAACTGTGGCAGGCCAGGATTCGACCCCGCAACACACTGCCCCGCCTGAAGAAACCACACAATGTACATGTCACCTTATCCACTCAGCCACCGATCATGATCGGTGGCTAAGTGGATAAGGTGACATGTACATTGTCCCGCCTCAAGAGGCTACACAATGCACATGTCACCTTATCCATGGAGGCAAACAAGGGAATGTACGAGAGTATAGTGATGAATGTACGAGAGTATAGTGATGAATGTACGAGAGTATAGTGATGAATGTACGAGAGTATAGTGATACCAACACTCTCATATGGGTGTGAAGCATGGGTTGTAAATCCTGCAGCGAGGAGGCGGCTGGAGACAGTGGAGATGTCCTGTCTAAAGGCAATGTGTAGTGTAAATATTATGCAGAGAATTCGGAGTGTGGAAATTAGGAAAAGGTGTGGAGTTAATAAAAGTATGAGAGGGTTGAAGAGGGGCTGCTGAGGTGTGTTGGTCATTTAGAAAGAATGGAACAAAGTAGAATGACTTGGAGAGCGTATAAATCTGTAGGGAAGGGCGGGGTAGGGGTCGTCCCCAAAAACGTTGGAGGGAGGAGGTAAAGGAGATTTTGCGGGCGAGGGGTTTAGACTTCCAGCAAGCGTGCGTGAGCGTGTTAGATAGGAGTGAATGGAGACGAATGGTGTTTGGGACCTGACGAGCTGTTGGAGTGTGAGCAGGGGTAATATTTTGTGAAGGGATTCAGGGAAACCGATTAGCCGAACTTGAGTCCTGGAAATGGGAAGTACAATGCCTGCACTTTAAATGAGGGGGTTGGGATAACGGAAGTTTGTAGGGACGTCTAAGCTATCGTATCTGAGTGCCTCTGCAAAAATAGTGATTATGTATGAGTGATGGTGAAAGCGTCGAAGGATGATGAAAGTTTTTTCTTTCTTTCTGGGTTTTTCTTTCTTTTTGGGTCACCCTGCCTCGGTGGGAAACGGCCAACGTGTTAAGAAACAAATACATATACATATACGAGGCCTTCCACTGGCTTACTGGATCCCTTCGTGAAATAATTAGAAGTCACACCAAGGATTCTGATATATACGGCGTAATACTTACTTTGGCTAATGCCACAGAACTGGTCGTCGTCAATTTTGAGAGTCTTGCCACACTCTCTGTGTGGTGTGGGACGACACCTAGTGTCGCGCTGCTGGATAATCAGAATCCACTTGTAGTTCTCTGATGTGTGTAGAAAAGTCTGTATACACAAAAAAAAATTAAAATTGTACTTAATACCATTTTAATATTGCTTAATGATATTTTAGCATTGGGGCGTTGACCCCCAAAACCCTCTCCAGGTAAACTTCAGGAAATACTGCCTAATGATATTTTGGTATTAAAGGTATTGTAACACAGGACACTCTCTTATAATGCTCCATTATATGTGATTATTTTTAAACATGATTTAAAAACAGCATCCAAAATATAATAGCTCATACTATGAAGGCCTTTCAATGTGCTATTTTTATTTTGGATGTACTTTTCAGTCGCATTTACAAAAAAAAAAAAAATCTACAGTATAAGAGAAGCTTTATAAGGGAGGTTATTGTACAAATGTTATTTTGGTATATATTTGTGTTGAAAATTCATAACGAAGGTTTCGTGATAAACCCGTTGGGGGCCATATAACCCCCTGGGGAATGTGAGGTTATCAGTCTTGACCTGAGTAAGGTGAGGATAACTCCAGTGTTTGCGACTAAAAAAAACATGAGCATTAAGGCGCCCTTTCCATCCATCCAACATAGTCGTAAATAGGAATATAACAGTGGAATGATGTTGAGCTGAACCTGCGGTGTGAGCTTATCAGACCTGTGGTGTGAGCTTATCAGACCTGTGGTGTGAGCTTATCAGACCTGTGGTGTAGTGGATCACTGAGGAGGGGCTGGGCTTGTGGGATTCCCGGGATCTTCCTTGGATCATTGAAGTAGAGGGGGCTGGGCTTATGTAATTCCCGAGATACCTTTCTTGGATCACTGGGATACAGAGAGTTGGCCTTACGGGATACATACAAAGACACCTTCCTGAGAGTGACAGACATGTCCCTCCTACATTGGATTCTCATACTTCCTCTCCTCCATAATGGCAATGCAAAGAGAGAGAGAGAGAGAGAGAGAGAGAGATACTAACAGCAGCGTCCTTGTACTGAGGAAAGCTCCCAGTGAGGACACAGGCAGGATACACTCTGCGAGAATATATAATCTCCGTCTCCACCCTGATGAGCGCAACGTCGTGGGAAGGTCGGTTGCCGGCTATATAGCCAGGGTACAAGTGGACTTTTGTTACCTGGTAGGAAAAAATGTATATTAATCACCTGCCGTTAAGTAGTTATAGGTATTATTATTATTATTATTATTATTATTATTATTATTATTATTATTATTATTATTATCATTATTTTTATTATTATTATTGTTATTACTAATGCTATTATTATTACAACTATAATTATTAGTATTACTGTTATTATTACTACTAATTATTATAGTTATTGTTGTTACATTCAAGGGGGAGTGTTAAACACTTAGGGGTCGTACAGCGTCTAGAGGGGGGGGGGACTGTGAGGCATTTAGATTCGATCTACGGATGGGAACATACAGCTCCATTTCTTTAGACCAAGAGCACCTCACCGGAATTAAGGAGCCTCCCTTGAGGGGATAGCCATTGGTAGATAGCACAGGTGTATGTGATAACACGGGTGTATGGGACAGCACAGGCGAATGGGATAGCACAGGTGTATATGATAGTACAAGTGTATGTGATAGCACAGGTGTATGTGACAGCACAGGTTTATGGGATAGCACAGGTGTATATGATAGTACAGGTGTATGTGATAGCACAGGTGTATGTTATAGCACAGGTGTATGTGATAGTACAGGTGTATGTGATAGCACAGGTGTATGTGATAACACAGGTGTATGGGATAGCACAGATGTATGTGATAACAGGTGTATGTGATAACACAGGTGTATGGGATAGCACAGGCATATGTGATAGCACAGGTGTATATGATAGTACAAGTGTATGTGATAGCACAGGTGTATGTGATAGCACAGGTGTATGTGATAGCACAGGTGTATGATAGTACAAGTGTATGTGATAGCACAGGTGTATGTGATAGCACAGGTGTATGTGATAGCTCAGGTGTATGTGATAGCACAGGCGTATGGGATAGCACAGGTGTATGTGATAATACAGGCGTATGTGATAACACAGGTGTATGGGATAGCACAGGTGTATGTGATAGCACAAGTGTATGGGATAGCACTGGTGTATGTGATAACACAGGTGTATGGGATAGCACAGGTGCATGTGATAACACAGGTGTATGTGATAACACAGGTGTATGGGATAGCACAGGTGTATGTGATAACACAGGTGTATGTGATAACACAGGTGTATGGGATAGCACAGGTGTATGTGATAACACAGGTGTGTGGGATAGCACAGATGTATGTGATAGCACAGGTGTATGGAATAGCACAGGTGTATGTGATAGCATAGGTGTATGGGATAGCACAGGTGTATGTGATAGCACAGGTGTATGGGATAGCACAGGTATATATGATAGCACAGGTGTATGTGATAATACAGGTGTATGGGATAGCTCAGGTGTACGTGATAGCACAGGTGTATGGGATAGCACAGGTATATGGGATAGCACAGATGTATGTGATAGCACAGGTGTATGTGATAGCACAGATGTATGTGATAGTACAGGTGTATGTGATAGCACAGGTGTATGTGATAGCACAGGTGTATGTGATAGCACAGATGTATGTGATAACACAGGTGTATGTGATAGCACAGGTGTATGTGATAGCACAGATGTATGTGATAGCACAGGTGTATATGATAGCACAGGTGTATGGGATAGCACAGGTGTATGTGATAGCACACGTGTGTGTGATAGCACAGGTGTATGTGATAGCACAGGTGTATATGATAGCACAGGTGTATGTGATAGCACAGATGTATGTGATAGCACAGATGTATGTGATAGCACAGATGTATGTGATAGCACAGGTGTATATGATAGCACAGGTGTATATGATAGCATAGGTGTATATGATAGCACAGGTGTATATGATAGCACAGGTGTATATGATAGCACAGGTGTATATGGATAGCACAGGTGTAAAGTGATAGTACAGGTGTATATGATAGCACAGGTGTATATGATAGCACAGGTGTATGTGATAGCACAGGTGTATATGATAGCACAGGTGTATATGATAGCACAGGTGTATGTGATAGCACAGGTGTATGTGATAGTACAGGTGTATATGATAGCACAGGTGTATATGATAGCACAGGTGTATGTGATAGCACAGGTGTACGTGATAACACAGGTGTATGTGATAACACAGGTGTACGTGATAGCACAGGTGTATATGATAGCACAGGTGTACGTGATAGCACAGGTGTATGTGATAGCACAGGTGTACGTGATAACACAGGTGTATGTGATAACACAGGTGTACGTGATAGCACAGGTGTATATGATAGCACAGGTGTATGTGATAGCACAGGTGTACGTGATAACACAGGTGTATGTGATAACACAGGTGTATGTGATAGCACAGGTGTATATGATAGCACAGGTGTATGTGATAGCACAGGTGTACGTGATAACACAGGTGTACGTGATAACACAGGTGTATGTGATAACACAGGTGTATGTGATAGCACAGGTGTATATGATAGCACAGGTGTATGTGATAGCACAGGTGTATATGATAGCACAGGTGTATATGATAACACAGGTGTACGTGATAGCACAGGTGTATATGATAGCACAGGTGTATATGATAGCACAGGTGTACGTGATAGCACAGGTGTATATGATAGCACAGGTGTACGTGATAGCACAGGTGTATATGATAGCACAGGTGTACGTGATAACACAGGTGTACGTGATAACACAGGTGTATATGATAACACAGGTGTACGTGATAGCACAGGTGTACGTGATAACACAGGTGTACGTGATAGCACAGGTGTACGTGATAACACAGGTGTACGTGATAGCACAGGTGTATATGATAGCACAGGTGTACGTGATAACACAGGTGTACGTGATAACACAGGTGTACGTGATAACACAGGTGTACGTGATAGCACAGGTGTACGTGATAGCAGTGTTCTTGAGGGAGAGGGCGGAAGAAACTTGTCCTGAAAGTTTCTATTGCGTAAATTCCGCGATAATCACAATATGAAGCTTAAAATAACACAAAACTTATCGTATGAGCAATAACATGATAAATTCCTGTGAGGTACAAAATTTAATCCTTAAACTCATTTCAAACACTAATTATCAAATAATCTGCTCTAAAAAAGAAATAGATTTTGACCTAAAAATAAATTATTTCACTCACAGAGTGAAATAATTTATCTCTGAGAGCATTAAGCTAAAAAAAATATTTGATAATGAGTTATTATCTCACAGAAACTCCAGTATTTTCTTCCATAAATGGAGAACAAAGTACTTACATAATCTTTTAAAATTGATCCATTTGTAAAGGGATGTTGTACTCTCAAGTTACGTACATCTATTGCATGTGTTGTCTCCTGTGTTCTGTCATCAAGGAAAAAAATTACATTAATATATTTTTTGGATTTTTAAATGTAATATTTTAAAAGTAATATACTGATTTTTGACTACATTGTTTATTAGGTAGGTAGGTATAATATAATGTTTGTCAGGAAACAGGACAAGTGTTTCCTGACGCGGATATTAGTCATGTGATGACCCGCAGCTGGAGTTTTTGGTCCTCTGACTGAGGACTTTCGCTGACTTACCTCTCCACCACTTTAAAAATCATGGTTTTTAATAATATGTTTTTTATCTTTCATGAATATATTATATTTCTTCTCTGCTGACCACTAATTGTGAACACATGCGGAGTAATACACCAAATGTTATGTTCAAATAATTTTTTAATCATACCAAAGCGTTGAGTGAATGATGATGAATATTTCCTCTTTTTTTGTCATCTTACCTTGGCTTTAGAAGGCCGGTGAGTTTTAAAAAAAATATATGAAAATGCTAGACATGAAGGTGTGGATAACACAATTACCTACCAAGAAAACTAACTAGAAAAAATAATTTAAAGCAACATTAAACTAAGTTTATAAAACAGACTTAAAAATGGAACAGATTTTAAAATCATAAAGTGGAAGCATAATCTAAGGCTTTAAACCAAACAACTACCAATATACATCACGAGGAGTAAGTCTTTTACTGTATATATACTCAGAAATAACTGTAATCCCTATCAGTAATTAAAGTATTCTTGACTGGTTGCAAGCAGGGGAGATGCACCCTTATATGATTATCGGGTAGCCGAGGCTTTAAATCTAATAAAGCAACTGAGAAAAGTGTGTACATACGTAGTGAGACAGTGAGCAGCTGTGAGGAGGTAATAGGGAGAAATGATGGTACCAGTGCAGACGAATTTCTGCAGATTGAAGATTCCCACCAGCCAGGGCCACTGTGGTTCAGGCGCTCGGGGAGCTCTCTCTATCGGATACCTTGGTCTCCGACCACACACTGTTGACAAGGAGACATCAGGAGCATAGTCACATGAAGGGTCAGGCAAAATATGTCAAAGTTGACTATCTTCTCCACTTCTACTCACACCACGATACAAAACTAAATGTGGCATAATAATAGGCTTCTTCCCGCCTGCCCTCCGTATCTGCAGTAGTGAATTCTTTGAGGAAGACGTTTTTATTTTTCAACAAACAAGCATTTTCTAAGCTTCTTAACATCTGCTGTTAAGATTTTTTTATTACTGCTCTTACATACCTGTTATTTCTGAAACATCTGTTATTAAGTGGATCTTAAACATGTTATCAAGTAGATCTTATATATACCTATTAAGAAAATAATCTTAAACATCTATTATTAAGTAGATCTTACACACCTACTAAGAAAACGTATCCTAAAATGTCTATTATTAAGTAGATCCTGAAAATCTCATACTAAATAGCTATTAAAAATTTGTTATAAAGAAGACCTTGAACACCTATCATTAAACATACCCTAAACATCTGTTATATAGCTCTTAAACACCTGCCTATAAGTAGACCTTCAAGAGTTAAGTTGATATTATAGGACTGTTTCGACACCCCAAACTTTGCAAACTTTTACGTATTACTTTTCTATAAATCAAACTGTTAATGAAAAAATATAATTAAATTATCCTATTCAGTTATCTAAAAAAATAAGGCACCTCAATTGTTGTTTAACTAATCTCTATGTCAAGTTGTAAACAATTATTTTAACAGTTAATCTGTATGGGACATGTAGTTGAATTATTACTCTTACATAATATATATGGTGTGCAGTATTTAATTTTAAATATTTAACATAAAACATCTGAAAATTTACCAAGCACTTTCTACCTGACTTATTTTTATTTGGAAAACTGTTTTTTTTTTTTTTGGTAGTCTGATAGCTTTTTTTTTTTTTTTTACGCTATAACTAACATAGCGATCTATCTTAATCTTGCTGAAATTTTTCATGTGATAAAAAAATATCTTAATTTATGTAACCTATTTAATTATTATATTATCCGCATGAATAATAAAGCCTAATGTATATAATAATTTGGGTAATTATATTTCACTGTTTCCCTTGGGTGAGGGAGCAATTATATTTCACTGTTTCCCTTGGGAAAGGGAGCAATTATATTTCACTGTTTCCCTTGGGTGAGGGAGCAATTATATTTCACTGTTTCCCTTGGGAAAGGGAGCAATTATATTTCACTGTTTCCCTTGGGAAAGGGAGCAATTATATTTCACTGTTTCCCTTGGTAAGGGACAATTATATTTCACTGTTTCCCTTGGGAAAGGGAGCAATTATATTTCACTGTTTCCCTTGGGAAAGGGAGCAATTATATTTCACTGTTTCCCTTGGGTAAGGGAGCAATTATATTTCACTGTTTCCCTTGGGAAAGGGAGCAATTATATTTCACTGTTTCCTTAATGTAAGGGAGCAATTATATTTCATTGTTTCCCTTGGGTAAGGAAGCAATTATATTTCACTGTTTCCCTTGGGAAAGGGAGCAATTATATTTCAGTTTCCCTAATGTAAGGGAGCAATTATATTTCACTGTTTCCCTTGGGTAAGGGAGCAATTATATTTCACTGTTTCCCTAGGGTAAGGGAGCAATAATATTTCAGTTTCCCTAGGGTAAGGGAGCAATTATATTTCACTGTTTCCTTAGGGTAAGGGAGCAATTATATTTCACTGTTTCCCTAGGGTAAGGGAGCAATTATATTTCACTGTTTTCCTTGGGTAAGGGAGCAATTATTTTTCACTGTTTCCCTTGGGTAAGGGAGCAATTATATTTCACTGTTTCCCTTGGGTAAAGGAGCAATTATATTTCACTGTTTCCCTGGGGTAAGGGAGAAATTTATATTTCACTGTTTCCCTAGGGTAAGGGAGCAATTATATTTCACTGTTTCCCTAGGGTAAGGGAGCAATTATATTTCACTGTTTCCCTAGGGTAAGGGAGCAATTATATTTCACTGTTTCCCTAGGGTAAGGGAGCAATTATATTTCACTGTTTCCCTAGGGTAAGGGAGCAATTATATTTCACTGTTTCCCTTGGGTAAGGGAGCAATTACATTTCACTGTTTCCCTAGGGTAAGGGAGCAATTATATTTCACTGTTTCCCTAGGGTAAGGGAGCAATTATATTTCACTGTTTCCCTAGGGTAAGGGAGCAATTATATTTCACTTTCCTTAGGGTAAGGGAGCAATTATATTTCACTGTTTCCCTAGGGTAAGGGAGCAATTATATTCCACTGTTTCCCTTGGGTAAGGGAGCAATTATATTCCACTGTTTCCCTTGGGTAAGGGAGCAATTATATTTCACTGTTTCCCTTGGGTAAGGGAGCAATTATATTTCACTGTTTCCCTTGGGTAAGGGAGCAATTATATTTCAGTTTCCCTTGGGTAAGGGAGCAATTATATTTCACTGTTTCCCTTGGGTAAGGGAGCAATTATATTTCACTGTTTCCCTTGGGTAAGGGAGCAATTATATTTCACTGTTTCCCTTGGGTAAGGGAGCAAATTCAGGTGATCTTTTATTCAAATAAAATAATATCACCATTTTCTTGAAAAGATATCCCATCAAAAGTTCTGAATATATCAACAGTGACTTCAAGAACCATTTACTTGAAGGTAATTTAGTTAGAATGGCCTATTAACTTTTTTTACGAGTGAATTTACAGGTTGAACAAGCATCCTACCTTTGAAAATACGGATTTTTGTTTCTGGATATCATATAACACCATGAGAATTAGTACATAGTTAGAATGGAATATAATAACTTTGAGAAGAGGTAGCCTGGGTGGCTACCACAGCACTTACCATGAGAGTTAATGTAGTTAGACTGGCATAATAACTTTGAGAAGAGGTAGCCTGGGTGGCTACCACAGCACTTACCATGAGAGTTAATGTAGTTAGACTGGCATAATAACTTTGAAGGGAGAGTGTCATTTCGGAAATTACCATAAGGGTACCACAACCCATCAGGTCTACACTCAGCAAGGTGTGTAGTTCCCCAACAGTCAGCAAGGACCACACTCAGCACAGGGACTCCTCTGTCAGAGCCACACATCGGCGCTCTGCAGAACAACAACGACTGTTAGTCCGTTACGTGGAAATCTTCATAAATTAAATACAAAATGTATAACAGACGTGTACCCATAATACCTATGTGTTCTTTGAACCACTGTACAATGTTAAACTTAATAAAAATGCAAATTGAAGTGGACGTTTAGTTCTCCACGAGAAAAAAATAAAATCCCGTAACGGGTAGGCTTGATCCCAGGGTAGGTGACACATAAAACTCAAAAGGCCTGAGTTTTAGAACTCACCCGTTCTTTGATTTGTTTGCGATCGTGTTATTACAATATCGTGAGTCACTCTCCAGGGACTTTGTTAAGCCAGTACAAACAATAGGACACACAGGGTATATAGAGAGAACATAGTAAAGCAAAACTGGAAATACGTAAGCTGTGTCAACTTACCCAGGACTTCGAACAATACCAGCGATATTCCTGGAAAATGAAAGTAACTGTATGAGTCTTCTCTCTCCCAGGAATAAAATGGATCACATAAAGTTCGTCTCACTTCTGAAACTATTTAAATATAATTGTATCTATGTCTCGTCTGCTTTTTGTTTGTCCTAATCTAACACAACAACTTATCATACGAAAGTGAAGGCACATGTGCAACATCTGGAAATCTTTATTGTAGACGTTTCGCCATCCAGTGGCTTTATCAATACAGATTCTAGGACATAATAGGAAGACAGTAGAACTATATACAAAAGATGAGGTAATCAGTCCCTCAGCCTTGGAGTTAGTGTTCACAGCCTCGTGGTGGAGGAGAATCTGAAGCAAAGGCAAGAAGACTGGCGGTTATATAGGCGTCAGTGGATAGGGACGGGCAGCAGACGAGGGCATAGTCACTGGTAGGCGGGATTCCCCAGTGGAAGTAGATCCTTCCCAAAGAGATGGGTTAGTTGCAGCAGCCGTGAAGGTCTTGTAGATGTCCTCTGAACCAAGATTCCATGATGTTGCAGTGTCTCCTCCACCACGATGCTGTGAACACTAACTCCAAGGCTGAGGGACTGATTACCTCATCTTTTGTATATAGTTCTACTGTCTTCCTATTATGTCCTAGAATCTGTATTGATAAAGCCACTGGATGGCGAAACGTCTACAATAAAGATTTCCAGATTTTGCACATGTGTCTTAACTTTCATATTGTCGGTATTTTATACCTTTCTTGCACAACTTGTCAGACACTGCAACATCATGGAATCTTGGTTCAGAGGACATCTACAAGACCTTCTTCACGGCTGCTGCAACTAACCCATCTCTTTGGGTAGGATCTACTTCCACTGGGAAATCCCGCCTACCAGTGACTATGCCCTCGTCTGCTGCCCGTCCCTATCCACTGACGCCTATATAACCGCCAGTCTTCTTGCCTTTGCTTCAGATTCTCCTCCACCACGATGCTGTGAACACTAACTCCAAGGCTGAGGGACTGATTACCTCATCTTTTGTATATAGTTCTACTGTCTTCCTATTATGTCCTAGAATCTGTATTGATAAAGCCACTGGATGGCGAAACGTCTACAATAAAGATTTCCAGATGTTGCACATGTGTCTTAACTTTCATATTGTCGGTATTTTATACCTCTCTTGCACAACTTATCATACCTTGTATAAATGAGCCCAAAATAAAATAATCTTAACTTAATCTGTCTGGAAACTTTAATGACTATTTGTCAAGAAGAAAATTTATTAATACATACTAATGAATAATAAAAGTCACATTAGTAGTACATCACAGTACAGGAATTTGTAAATAAAAATATATATTTGCTCAATCATATTTACGTGTGCAGGACTTTAAATATCATATAAGACTCTTAAAGTAAGGAGAGACTCACACAATAGGCTGGACTCCACAAGACAGAACATCAATGGTTATTTCAGTGTCGGAGCTGTCTACTTGGTCTACGCTACACACCACCTCGTTAACTGCAACGACAGTGCATGATACATTTAGTTATAAACAACATCTTATTATAAGTCATAGATTTCAACACTCGACTTCTTTTGTTTACCCTGAGGGTTGAGCTCCAGCTCTCGGGCTCAGTCCCTTCAGGGGGGGGGAGGTACCTGCTTCGATGCTGGTGAAGGACTTCAACCAGGAAATTACAGTTGCTTTCCACCTCCTTTGATCAAATCTGATTGCCTCCAATTCCCCAAGCACTGTATGGCTCCTACGAGTTTAGCTCTCCTCGATCTACTACTACTACTAATAATAATAATAATCCAGTTTCTCATTTTGTTGTATCAGACTGAAAAAGATCCATCTAATATCTAACTATAATATCTAACTAATATCTAATATCTAATATCTAATATCCAACTATAATATCTAACTATAATCTGTGTACCGTTGATCTGGTTCAACTTTTTCCATCAGTTTATCTATGCAGTCCCAATTTTGCACACGAATATCACTCCCTACGAAAGAAAAAGACTAGGCACGAGATGCAACATTCCCCCAATGAAAAGTAGGGGCGCCACGAGTACGCTAAGAGAAAATAGTGTCAGGGGCCCAAGACTGTTCAACTGCCTCCCAGCATACATAAGGGGGATTACCAATAGTCCCCTGGCTGTCTTCAAGAAGGCGCTGGACAGGCACCCAGGAGGCCTGGTCACAGGCCGGGCCGCAGAGGCGTTGATCCCCGAAACCCTCTCCAGGTATAAGTGATCAGCGTGACTGACAAAGTCACAGGTGGGCGATACAATGACTTAATAAATGTCTCATTAAGCTGTTTGTGTCCAATAATCTAAGTAAAGTCGATATTACTACCAATAATTACACGTGTCTAAATATGTGTATTATTACTAGTAGTAGTAGTAGGGATCTATACTCTGAACAACTGAGGAACTCCGTATGCTGGCTGAACTCTGTAGGCTGAACTTTTTGACCTCGTAAAAAACTCATTCAGGTTTCAGATTCCTCACAGAGGCGAGGCCTTTGTAATTCATTTTTGTTTCAACCCACCTGTGATTCCTCAGATCAGAGTTACCATTTCACTCAAATTCCTCTTATCGGGATTCTGTGCCTGTTCCCCGCATCCTGATAATTAAGGGTCCATTAGCTGGCCATTTCACTGCACTTCCTTGGATCAAGATTCTTTCTCACTTCAGGTTATTTCTCTGATTCATTAGATCAAGAGCTGAATAAGGAGTAGCCCCACTCTCTCTATCTTTTCAGATATCTGTACAATTTCAGTCTTCCAAGACAAGTTTAGTCATGGTGGACACAAGTATGGCACAGTGATCCAGCAACAATACATCTCACAGAAATACACTTGACTCCACCTTGTATGTCTACACAGCCGATATTCATAGGTATTTATCTTAAAATTATTAATTAACCTTTGGAATTTAAATAAAAAGTGACCTATACTTATATCTCTTTATTCATACACATCACCACAGATTTACAAATTACATATACATAATATCACGTATAAATTAATTTTAGTTTGTTTTCACAGACTATAAGAACAATGAACTTAGCCTAGGGGGGGGGGAGTAAAGACTCCTTCTTTACAGCATATCTTCTGTCTCTCTCGAAGTGTCTCACTGTCATGGAAATCCCATCAAGTCTTTTTCACACACGAACCACATGATGATTATCCATCACTTCTATTAAAGACTAAGTCTCGGCCACTTCACTCCCATACATAGAATCCGGAGTTGCTGGGTATTACATCAGTTCAGAATCAAGAGTTTGCCGAGTAGCTAAGTTAACAATGGGGATAAATGGGTAAATTCAGAATGGCATATTCATTTTCATTATACTTAATTCCATCCATTTCTCGATTTTCCATCAGACTGAGAAGCGGTTCACAGTAAACTCCCTTATCTACTCACACTGTCAGAGGAGTGGAGAGGAGTGAATGAACAGTCTCTGCAAATAAACGTTTCTGTGCCTCTATCCAATGATCATCTGTCTTAATAGTCACTCTTTCAACCTTAGTCAGCCCCATCACAGGTAGGTAGTCAGGTGGTGAACTACCAAGAACCTCTTCATTTACTTTAATCGTAGGAGACAATATTTCCCCTTCTCCATTCATACGTAGGGAGGAGAGTATTGAGGTCATCCTATTCCCACCTTCACCTCCAACATCTCTCTTGCTAAAGATACGAGGTATTGGGTCCACATCTATATTCGTTGATGGTGTGGAAGGCACTGGGTTCGTCCCATCCCGATCATCGGGGGTAAACGTTGCTGGCTGTTTATAATGCACAAACCCTGGCCCGTGTCTCTCCGTCAATATTTGCTGAAGAGCCGTAGAAACTTCAGTTTTGATCATATTTTTAAGATCGGCCAGAGCAAATTCAATTTCCTCACGTATTATATCTTTCAGAGTGGTCTTCGTCCCATCAGACAAAAGTATAACAGTACAATTTCGAATCACACAGGGTTCTATAAAGAAAAAAAATATGTACGTTAGTTAAGCGCTCAACACCGACACACAAATACGTTTTAAGTCCCTCGAAACTCGTAATAAATTCATAAACCATCTCGTTAACAAATGTTTTACATAATACCAAGGCTTGTGGAGGAGTTAAATGCAGTCATTTTCATTAGACGAAAGACAGCGGAGAGCAGATGTGTGAAAGTGATCGTGTGTCGCTGCACATGACTTAGTAGACGTGTCAGCCTTCTTATAATTACCCCCCAACCCTTTACCCAAACTATCGTAAGACCACACTCTCCTGATCACGTAAATTTACTTCGCACCATTTATTATTAGTGAGGCAGTGACACGGGGTCACTTACACACATCTGCTCTTCACCGCCCTTCACTCTATAGAGAATGACTTCATTCAACTCCTCTGGAAGCAATGGCAAGTTATTTTAAGTTTCCAAATATCGTTTAACGAGATTTATAAGTTTGTTACAAGTTTAGAGTGACTTTAAACTGTGTGTGTGTGTGTGTGTGTGTGTGTGTGTGTGTGTGTGTGTGTGTGTGTGTGTGTGTGTGTGTGTGTGCGTGCGTGCGTGCGTGCGTGCGTGCGTGCGTGCGTGCGTGCGTGCGTGCGTGCGAGTGTGTGTGTGTGTGTGTACGTGCGTAAGTGCGTGCTTAAGTGCGTGCGTAAGTGCGTGCGTAAGTGCTCACCTGTATGTGGTTGAAGGGGTCGAGTCTTAGCTCCCGGCCTCATCTCTAAACCTATTACTTGCCAAATTCACTCCCTCCTAGCCTCGTGGAGACTGTCGTACCTGCTCTGGAGTGTCGTTCACATAATCCAGACACAGTACTGGCCCTAATACGAAACCTTATGGAACCCCACTTGTTATTCTCCCATTCTGACATCTCTTACCAGACAATCATTCTGCTTCCTTCCTCTTAGGTACTCTTTGATCCACGCTCCCTGCTATTCATGCTGCCTGCACCGTCTGTTGTGGTGAGTGTGTGTGTGTGTACTCACTTAGTTGAGGTTGCAGGGGTCGAGTCCAAGCTCCTGGCGTGTGTGTGTGTGTGTGTTTGTAGTGTCGTCAGGCCGATTTCCCTTAACCTTTCTTCATAGGACATTCCCCTTAGCTCTGGAACTAAACTTGTCGCAAACCTTTGCACCTTCTCTAGTTTCTTGACGTGCTTTATCAACTGCGAGTTCCAAACAGGTGGGCCTGACGTACACGGTGTACAGTGTCTTGAACGATTCCTTATTAAGGTATCGGAACGCTGTTCTCAGGTTTGCCAGGCACCCATATGCTGCAACAGTTACCTGGTTGATGTGTGCTTCCGGAGACAGGCTCGGTGTTATACTCACTCCAAACTCTTTCTCCTTGAGCGAGGTTTGCAGTCTTTGGCCACCTAGCCTATACTCTGTCTGCGGTCTTCTGTGCCCTTCCCTATCTTCATGACTTTGCATTTGGCGGGATTAAATTCGAGAAGCCAGTTGCTGGACCAGGTGTCCAGTCTGTCCAGGTCTCTCTGAAGTCCTGCCCGGTCCTCATCTGATTTAATTCTCCTCATTAACTTCACATCGTCTGCGTGTGTGTGTGTGTGTGTGTGTGTGTGTGTGTGTGTGTGTGTGTGTGTGTGTGTGTGTGTGTGTGTGTGTGTGTGTGTGTGTGTGTGTGTGTGTGTGTAAGTGTTGTGTGTCTGCGTGTGTTTGTGTGTGTAAGTGTTGTGTGTGTGTGTAAGTGTTGTGTGTGTGTGTAAGTGTTGTGTGTGTGTGTGTGTGTGTGTACTCACCTAGTTGAGGTTGCGGGGGTCGAGTCCGAGCTCCTAGCCCCGCCTCTTCACTGATCGCTACTAGGTCACTCTCCCTGAGCCGTGAGCTTTATCATACCTCTGCTTAAAGCTATGTATGGATCCTGCCTCCACTACATCGCTTCCCAAACTATTCCACTTACTGACTACTCTGTGGCTGAAGAAATACTTCCTAACATCCCTGTGATTCATCTGTGTCTTCAGCTTCCAACTGTGTCCCCTTGTTACTGTGTCCAATCTCTGGAACATCCTGTCTTTGTCCACCTCTCAGTATTTTGTATGTCGTTATCATGTCCCCCCTATCTCTCCTGTCCTCCAGTGTCGTCAGGTTGATTTCCCTTAACCTCTCCTCGTAGGACATACCTCTTAGCTCTGGGACTAGTCTTGTTGCAAACCTTTGCACTTTCTCTAGTTTCTTCACGTGCTTGGCTAGGTGTGGGTTCCAAACTGGTGCCGCATACTCCAATATGGGCCTAACGTACACGGTGTACAGGGTCCTGAATGATTCCTTATTAAGATGTCGGAATGCTGTTCTGAGGTTTGCTAGGCGCCCATATGCTGCAGCAGTTATTTGGTTGATGTGCGCTTCAGGAGATGTGCCTGGTGTTATACTCACCCCAAGATCTTTTTCCTTGAGTGAAGTTTGTAGTCTCTGACCCCCTAGACTGTACTCCGTCTGCGGCCTTCTTTGCCCTTCCCCAATCTTCATGACTTTGCACTTGGTGGGATTGA